AAAACTCTCCCCCCCCCTTTCAGCTTTTTTTCCCCACTAAAGCCAGGACATCCAGCTTCTTCTCTTTCATAACATCCCCAATCATCTCTTTCTTATCATCTGCACAAAATCCACGCACATTCAACTTTCCCCCTTTTAAAAAATTTTTCTTATTCTTTTTTGTTAAACTTTACAGGAAAAGGGGTTTCTAGCCCATTGTTCCCCCCGGCCCTTTTAGTTGACTTTTTCAAAACCCTGGTTACGGGGGAAAGATTCTTATTTCCCCTTCCCCCTGGGTATAAAAGGAAAAATTTAAAAAGCCCAAAAACTATTTAAAATAAAAATTTAAAGAAAACTCAGTGAGTGTTATAAATAAATGGTACATGTATGTGTAGTGGGGAAAAGTTTTAAGTAAAGTTTGGAAGACAAAGCCTGTAATCTTGCATATTTATGAACAGGGCAAAAAAAAATCACAAAACCCACCCTCATGTAAAAAAATCACAGGCTTTTGTTTTACAACTCACTTGGCAGGCGGGATTAAACCCCCCTTGGTGGGTTTCTGTCCCCCCCAAACCCACTACCTATTAAAATTATTTTTTTTTATTATTTAAAAATGGGGAAGCACTTGGGGGGGGAATGGAAAGGGAATTTAGGCTTAATTGAAGGGGGAAAAGGAAAAACAATCCCAAATTCCCCAAAATCAGAGCCCCTCCCAAAGTACAAAAAAACAAAAAGTAATAATAATAATTTAATTTAAAAATAATAGGGAAAAAATTTCCTAGGTAGTGGGTTGGTAGATAGAACTGCCCAGGGGGGTATTACCTCCTGCCAGGGGGTGTAAAACAAAAGCCTGTAATTTTTTTAAAAAGAGGAAAGGTTGTTTGTTTTTGAAAAAAATTTATTTCTTGCACTTCCTTAATTATCCCCACTCCATACTGAAAACTTTTTTCCCCCCCCTTTGGGTTTTTCCTATTTTTCTAGTTCTTTTTTTTTCCCCCTTATCCCATGGGGGGGGAACAGTTTTTCCCTCCAAAGCCAGGGGAAGGGGGGCACTTCCCGGGGAAGTGGCTAGAACCCCTTCCCCTGAAAATTAAAATTAAACGAAAAAATTTTGTTTTTTTTTCCCCCTCTTTGGGGGGTCCCCTTTTTTAAGAATGAAAATTTTTAAAAAAAATTTTTTAAAATTTTAAATTTTTTTATTAAAACATCGTGAAAAAATTCGGGGGTCCATTTTGGGTCCCACAAATAAAAAAATTGGGTTTAACCCACCTTTTTTGTTGTTAAATAGTTGTAAAATGGTTTAAGTCCCTAAATCCCATATTTGGCTTTTTTTGCACAATGGTTTATGTTTAAAAAACGCCATTTGTTTGAAAAGGGAAAAATTTTTTTTTTTTTTTTTTTTAAAAAAAATTTTCCTTTGAGGGGGGTAAACCCTGAAATTTTTTGAAGAAGCAAAAAGATGCGTAACCCGGGGCCCCCACTGTACTTAATTTACATGTTTACATTTCTCTTTTTTTAAATTTTTTGGTTGCTGGTAGGGTTCTTTCAATCGTGTCATTCAATTTTGTGGTCTAGTATACCTGGGTTACTTGGGAGGGTTTCAGGGGGCATGCCCCCAGGCCCCAGTTGTGACCGGCCTTGTGAAGTAAGTTTTTATAAGAAGGGGGAAAGTTTAGTAGGAAAAGGTCCTTATCATGAACCCGGGCCCCAAGGGCTTGACCCGGAATACCCCCAGGGATACTCTTAGGAAAAAAGGTTAGTGTAGTGCATAAATCTTCAGCCTATGTTCATAATGTGTGCTTGCTATTCTTCACATTTATCGGTAACTCAGCAACATGCTTATGCAGTGGCCACGGTTCCTGCAAGATAACCCTCTCTTCAGTTATGTATTTTCTTAGCTTAAATGTTAATGTCCTGATTAAATGGGTTAACTTTAGCCTAACATATTCTAACCTAACCTAATGCAGTGGAACCTAAGTCAACAATGGAATTTAATTTCTGTTGGACATTACAGTACTGCAAATACAGTAAGATGAAATTAACTGCTTAAGAAGCTTATTCCCCTAAAATATTTACACTTTTTTTGTCCCTTTTTTCCCCCTTATACATTTTTCTCTCATTACATTAGCTAGGCAAGCTCTTGATAGTTGTGCTTGAAGGACTTACCTTGTAAAGTGCTACTTAAGCACTTTCCTTATAGTGCTACTTTAAGCACTTGCCATATAGTGCTATTTTTTTTTTCCCTTTAGCCATGGATGAAGTGCGTCACTACAAAATAATGACATGGATGGTTGGCTGTGTTTTGGTCTTCCTATCCACTCTGGCAGCAGAGTCATTCTCCGGAGGGGCTAAACAGCATATGCCACCCCTCCTTGCATGCAGTGGATCCGTAGCAATGGCGTTAAATGGCTCTTAGGCCACCCCATTGAGAATGCATTCTCCACTGTACCATTGATCCCTCCAAGGCCTTTATAATATACAACTCAATCTTTGATGACCCTATCCTTAAGCACTTATTAAGGATTGTATATGACTTTGGGGACATTGCTCCTCTCCAGGATCTATGGACTGGGTGTCTTCTTTTTGTGTCAACTCCTCATTGTCCTGCTGTGAATGATGTCAGTGTAGCTGCTGAGTCGCCCATCTTGCAGTGCAATTTTGAATTTTTCCGGTATTGTAGTACACGGCTTTCTGTTGATATTGTTCAGCCATAGTTGATATATTTGAGTTAGTCACTATTAATCACAAATAATAAAATCAGGCATTCGTGTGCCATCAGCTGTAGGTTTATGTAGCTCTTTAATAACTGCGTGCTTCTTTTTGATGCAGTCTGAAGCAATAGCATCAACTATATTGTCATTCCTGTGCACTCGCTGTCTGTGGAGTCTTGGACACGCCTGAAGGAGATGGCCTAGCGATTCATTTTGTTGGCACCCGTCACAGGTAATATTTATTTGTCTAGCTCCCCTTGAATGCTGCATTTTGGTAGGCATTAAGTTATGCTTTATGTTTATGGCATCTATATATATAGCACCTTTCGTAAGGCCAGTTCCACTTGATATCCACTTGTGGACTTGAGGGACGAGATGATGTTCTTTCAGTCCTACTCCATCCTCAGAACCCACCAAGGCATTCCTCCACTCTTTCAATTCCTGTCTCTTTGTTGTTACCACGTTTTTAACCTTGCTCTTACCTACGAACTTTAAGGCTTTAATCATGTAGGGGTGAGCGGCTAAAGCTCTTACAACAGGATCTTCAGAGTTATGAAAGGCGTTCAACCTGTTTGTCCGTAATATTGGAACTCCCGTTGATAAGCAAACACATCCCAATCGTCCGGCAGCAGTTGGAGCGAAAAAGACACCAATAGGGGTATCCTTCAACAGGTTAAGCCACTTCTTAACCATTTGTCTGATGACTTTATCTGATGATCGTAGAGTATTCTGACAAACGTCACCTAGCACCATTGTATGAATAATGCCAAGAATCAAATGTTTATTTAGCAAAAACATGTGCTTTTGTGGCTTTAGGGAAGCCTTATCTAATGATATCAGTTTGTCATGTAACTTCTGGATATTAGGCTTTCCCCTCCCAGTTGAGAAGTGCATCCCCGAGTACTTATAAACAGCTGATGGTCGCAGTGCTTGCACTTGTACTCCATTTACTTCAGTTTTATTACTTGTATCTACATACCACTTCTTAGCTTTTGGCATGGTCTTGATCTTCAATGTGGCACACTTCTGTGGATTAAGTTCCAAGGCAGACGCTGCTGCAAGTTTGCCCAAAAAGGTATAAAGTTGGGCATTGAGGCCGTGTTTGGACTCCACCACCAGCACGAGATGAGCAAAGGCAAGAGCATATATCTTCTGATTACATCCAGACAAGGGCCATCCAACCTGTTCATCCATAGTGCTGCTTTAAGCTCTTTCCTTATAGTGCTACTTTAAGCACTTGCTTCATAGTGCTGCTTTAAGCCCTTGCCTTATAGGGCTACTTTAAGCACTTGTCATATAGTGCTGTTTTAAGCACTTGCCTTATAATGCTACTTTAAGCACTTGTCTCATTGTGCTACTTTAAGCACTTTCCTCATACTGCTACTTAAAAACCTTTCTTTCAACGCACTGGCCGTATCCCACTGAGGCAGAGTGGCCCAAAAAGAAAAACAAAAGTTTCTCTATTTAACTTTAGTAATGTATACAGGAGAAGGGATTACTGGCCCCTTGCTTCTGGCATTTTAGTCGCTTCTTATGACATGCATGGCTTATGGAGGAAGAATTCTGTTCTACTTCCCCTATGGAGATAAGAGGAAATAAACAAGAACAAGAACTAGTAAGAGAATAGAAGAAAACTCAGTGGGGTGTGTATATATGCTTGTACTTGCATGTGTAGTGTGAGCTAAGTGTAAGTAGAAGTAGCAAGATGTACCTGAAATCTTGCATGTTTATGCGACAGAAAAAAGACACCGGCAATCTTACCATCGTGTAAAACATTTACAGCTTTTGTTTTACGCTCACTTGGCAGGACAGTAGTACCTCACTGGGTTGTCGCTGTCTGCCAACCTTATACCTAGAGTTTACAAACATACCTACAATAAAGTTTAATTGATAAATTATGCACAATAAGACATTTCTAACATTAAATAATAATGAAATACATGGTACATTATTATACTTGTGCTCTCTTTCTCTCTCTCTCCTATTTTTCTCTCTCTTTTTTTCTCTTTTTTTTTTCTCTCAAATGAATGGGATACTGACATTTTAGCTTAACCCCCAAGGGATGATGGAGTAATGAAAAATATCTTGTACACACCTCACACAATTTAAACATATTTGAAACTTATGAAACTTACGAATCGTATGTTTCTAGAATTTTCCATTTAATATTTTCAGGCTGTGTTAACCTCGGATAACTGAAACCTCGGAAACCGAATCTACGGATATGGGAGTTCTGTTGTATTTGCTAATAATTCTACTTTACTTAGACTTCACTTTTCATGTTCTAATTCTAATTTTTTTTTTGAACAGCAAGGTCCAGGTGGTTCCATCCAGGCACTGCAGTTTGACGGCCGAAGCAACGGCTCAAAAGTCTACACAGTCTCCATTGATGGAACTCTGGCGCTGCATGACTTCTTGAATGGGGACAGAAAGAATTTCCTTAAAACTGGAGACATAGAGTATGTGAAAAAAAAATTAGTATTTACTGTTTCTCACCCTTTAAGGGAATGCCTTGGTACTGGTGCCTTGATGCTGGTGAAGAGATTTTTATCCCAGTGATTTGAGTTACTCTCTTCTACAGTGGATCAAATCTGATCACCACCTCCCCAACACCCTCGACCCTCTCATTCCTCAGGTGCTGTATGACCCCTCAAGGATTTAGTGCTTCCCATGAATTTAATAATAATGAAAGGTCATCTGAACTGTCATATCTGCGCACCTCGGTGAAGTCAGTGATAGTGTGAATGATGGTGAAAGTGTTTCTTTTTCGGGTCACCCTGCCTTGGTGGGAGATGGCCAACGTGGTTAAAAAAAAAAAAGATGTATTTAGGTACTTGAGAGTTAACATTCTGGCAGATGGGGTCTGTGAATGATAAGGCAAACCATAGTATAGATGAGGGGGAAGAAGATAAGTGGTGTGTTGAGGGATCTGTGGAAAGAAAAGTTTATAGAGGCAAATAAAGAGAATGTATCAGAGTATAGTGGTACCAACACTTTCATATGGGTCTGAAGCATTAGTTTTGAATGTTACAGTGAGGAAGATGTTAGAGGCAGTGGAAATGTCACGTTTGAGAGCAGTGTGTCTTGTGTGAATATTATTATGAGAATTCAGAGCATAGAAATTGAAAGACAGGATATATAATTGAGAGGTGGTTTGGGTATTTGTAGAAGATGAAAAGGAATAGGAGGGTGTATAAATCTGTGATGAAAAGTAGGAGAGATTAAAGCCATCCAAGGAAGCCTACCATGTAGGCGAAATGTTTCAGCAGTAAAGATACCCAATTGTTGCATATGTGTCTTACTCATCAACTTGTCGGTATTTTATACCATTTTCAACATACATTCCAGGAATGTTTGGAGCCTGGAGGTTAAGGTGGCTTTGTGTATTAAGGGCTTGAGCATCCAGCAGGATTGAGTGAGTGCACTAGATTTGATAAAGTGGAGACAAGTAGTTTTAAATGGATGTGGTGTTGGAGTGTGAGCTTGGTAACATTTATGCATGGATTCAGGAAGACAGGTTAACCAGACATGAGTAATGGTGGTGGGAGGACAGAGTTTGCACTCTGAAGGAGTGATGGGGATGTTTCAAGTTGGACGGTCATCTTTTATTTATTTATTTATTTATTTATTTATTAATTTGAACATGATACAGAGAAGTACAAAAGAATACAGTTAAGTGCAACATGCCAAAGCCCCTTGTATGCAGAGCATTATGGGCAGGCTTAAAATTAACTTAAGATTAACTAAACAATGATGTATTCAGTGGTAAAACATTATTGTAAACAAAACAATTAAGCTTAAGTAACAATTAGTTTGAGTATTACAAAGACAGGTCATATGGTTGCATGTATTGCTGTTCATTCAGTAGAATGGAGTATTCTGAATTGTAATGTCAGCACACTTCTGGCAAGAGTGATTGAATGAATGGTGGTGAATGTTTTTTTCCTTTTTTTGGGTGGGTGACCCATCATAATGTATGGCCAGTGTTTAAAAAATAATAATAATAAAATGAGATACAGTGGAACCTCTGGTTACGAACGCTTCCAAACACAAACAAATCAGTTCACAACCAAAAAATTTGCCACATTTTTGCATCTGGTCACGAACACACAATTGGGTGCGAAACAAACACAGCTGTGCTAATTTTCACATTCTGCCCCATTTTTCTCGCATGTGCCAATTTTCCCCACTTCCTGTTGTTTGTGTAAACCTAACTCTGTTATTTAAGGTTTTTTTTCTCTATTAAACTATGCATTATTTTCTATAATTAAGGATTTTTCAAACTTTGATTATTTTTTTCTGTGCTTAACCCTTTCAGGGTCCGTCCCGTAGATCTACGGCTGGTCGGTGAGTGTCCAAACCGTAGATCTACGCCAAAATTCTAGCGCCGTCAAATTTAGCGCGAAAGCGCTCATAGGCCTACATATGAGAGAATGGGTCTGCGCGGTGGGTGTGCGCCGTAAACAAAAAATCTAGGCGCCTGCATAGCATTGTGGGAACGCCGGCTCAGTCACCCTTGTTCACCATGTCTCGTCGCAAGTCAGCTCTGACTCCCCGGAAAATTGGGACTCTCCTCTTCCTGTCTGATAGTTCTGACACTGATGGAAGTGGAAATGAAGACGAATTCTACGGCTTTGATGAGTTAGTGACCGAAAATAATGACCAGGATATCGATAATAGTGCAGAAAACCCCGACGATCCTCGACCTTCTACCTCTGGTGTGGGCACTCGTGACTCACGGTCGGTTGTTCCTAAACGTAAGAGAAAACTAATATTTTCCCGTGGCCTGGCCTCTGACTTCAGTAATGACGATGATTCTGACGTGGATTGTGATTTTATTGCGCTCGACGATCATTCGAGTAGTGATAGTGAGGAAACATATTCACCAGTGAAGCGTCGTATGTGCGCCGCCGCCATGCGCTCGGGTAGTGTACCCTATGCTATGCCCAGGGGACGGAGTACATCCCGTAGTACATCCCGGAGTACATCCCGTGGCCCTACACCCGTTTTAGGTAGTGATAGTGAGGATGATGTGGCTACACTTGGCATGGATGGGCCACAGACATCAGTGGATGGTGTTAGTGGGGCTGGTGGTGGTAGTGGCACCGCCATGCGTGACTCGCTGTGCCACGCGGAAACCCACGCTGCTGACTCGTCAGTTCAAGGACAAAGCGGAGCGTCACCCACCAGCCCGCCACAACCACCCGTACAACCAGCCTATGATGTCCAGTATCCACCAGCAAACCGTATCTGGGATTGGCAGCAAAATCCCAATTTTGTTCCCAGCCCTCACCACTTTGATGACTCGCAAAGTGGAATTCTACCTACCTGTCCCCTTGGAACCACGGCCAATGAACTGGAATTCTTTGAATTATTCTTTGACCAGCCATTGATGGAAACTATTGTCAGGGAAAGTAATAAGTATTTCAGTACACCATGGCAAATACGATCTTATCACCACAGTCAAGACTACACAGGTGGAAAGAGACGACTGTTGCAGAAATGTATTTGCTTTTTGCAACAATAATGCTTATGCCTCACGTCTATAAGCATAATATAAAAGCATACTGGTCCACAGATCGGCTAATTTGTACCCCATCCTTCAGTGAAATAATACCAGTGAACAGGTTTATCTTACTCTTACGTATGTTGCACTTCTCTGACAAAACCAGGCCTGACAGAAGTGACAGGTTATACAAGATTAGAAATGTTTTCATGTATTCTCAAACAAAAGTTCAGGATATACTTTTTCCATTCAAGAATCTTGTAATTGACGAGTCTTTGATTTTGTTCAAAGGTAGACTGTCATTCAAGCAGTATATACCGAGCAAGAGGAACCGCTTTGGTATAAAATTGTTTGTACTCTGTGATTGTGACAGTGGCCTGGTGTTGGATATTGTTGTATTACACGGGTAGTAAAACATTGAAAGATACCAAGATGTTATTGGGTATATCAGGTGACGTAGTGAGAAACATGATGGCACCTTATCTTGGTAAGGGCCATACATTATACAGTGGACCCCCGCATAACGATGGCATCGCATAGCGATTTTTCCGCATAACGATTACTTTTATCGCAAAATTTTTGCCCCGCATACGATTAAAAACCCGCATACCGATTTTCGTCCGAGACGCGTCCAATGTGCCCTCACATGTGCCGGCCGTCCCATTGTTTACCAGCCAGCCTCCGCGGTAACATCCAAGCATACACTCGGAATATTTCGTATTATTACAGTGTTTTCGGTGGTGTTTCTGGAAAATAAGTGACATGGGCCCCAAGAAAGCTTCTAGTGCCAACCCTGTGGTAAAAAGGGTGAGAATTAGTATGGAAATTAAGAAAGATTTTGAAGGGTTTGGGGCTAACCCTGAGAAGCCTATGCCAGTTGTGGAATCCATTGTGCCTACTTCAAAGATTAAGGAAATGTGTGCAGAGTGGTTTGAACTGCAAACCTTTATAGATGAAAATCACCCTGACACAGCTGTTGCAAGCCGTGCTTGTGACTATTTCAATGACAATGTTATGGCCCATTTTAGGAAAGTCTTGAAGAAACGGGAGGTACAGAGCTCTATGGACAGATTTGTTGTGCGACAGAGGTCAGTGACTCTGAGCTGGTCCTAGTGGCATTAAAAGAAGAAGGGAAGTAACCCCAGAAAAGGACTTGCTACCTCAAGCCCAAATGGAAGGGGGTTTCCCCCTTTAAACAAAAGAAGATAATGCTTCCTCCCCCTCCCACAACATCCCCAGATCTTCAATAAAAGTAAGTGTAGTAATTGTGCACCCTTTTTTCGTTTGTGTGTATTAAAATTAACTTTTCATGGGTAAAAAAATTTTTTTTTCTACTTTTGGGCGTCTTGCACGGTTAATTTTTTTTTTTTCCATTATTTCTTAGGGAAAAAATTAATTCGCATAAGTTTTTTCGCATAACATGGCCTTTTGCACGGATTAAAAATTTTAACCCGGGTTTCCCACTGTATACCGATAATGGTACAAACCCCCATTACTCAGTGATTTCATGCATAAACAAGACAGATGTGTGTGGACAGTGCGTTTAATCGTAAACTATGCCAGGCTCAACGCAGGTGTTCGTGGTGATAAAGTGCAGGGTTTACTCCCCAAGGGGACATCAGGGCATTACGGGGGCATAAAAAACGAAAAATGTAAATTTGTTGAAAAACCATTCACCGTAAAAAAATGCAAGCAGTGGAAAAAGTTGATGAGTGACTAATGAACTATTCGAAAACCAGGCAGTGATTGATTATACAAAAAAACATCGTTTGGGTTTGACAAGGTGAATCAGATGGGGTTTTGTTGACTGTTTGTAAGAGTTAAAATGGTACTGAACTTTTCTTCCATCCGGAATTTAAATGCGAATGATATAATATGTAAAAAATGAAGACGGGTAACAGACCCCCGTTGGTGAATTTTGTTTGTCTGTTGTCAGAAACTCAAAATGAAGTCCCAGGAAAAAAACACCTGCAAAAAACATGGTCCCGAATTCTCACAATTACCCAAGCTTTGAGAAAAGGGTGATCTTTTAAAATACAGCTTCCTTCAATCAAAAAAAAATTTGCCAGAAGAGATGCATTGTCTGTGCACAAACAAAACACGGAAAAAGAGCAAAGACACTCGGTTTTATGTGTGAGGAATGTAAGGTGCCCTGGCATGGTGCCTTTTTCAAGGGGTTCCACAAGCCCAGCAGTTCTAAAACCATGTCCAGGATTTTAAAAAGTAAAATTGATAAACATTTAGTATTATACAAAAATTTTTGCATGTTTTTTGTAATAAACAACAGTGGTAAAAATAATTGATAATAACTTTAGTGCGGTTATTTGTTCAATACTAGTTTTATATAAAAATTATATACAGTATTTGGTTTTCGGCCCCAAATTTAGTAGGAATAGAAAAAATTGGAAAAAGAAAAGAAAAAACAAATAAAACCAAAAAAAATTAAAGCGATGTGGGAAATTTGTCGTGTTGCCCCCACAAACATCTTTCTAAAACTTCTTGGCCTGTATCTCGGAATCTGATCAGATTCTAATTTTTTTTGTTTTATTACCTTCACAAAAATATGCTCTTTAATTCTGTAAGAAAAAATAATTTTTTTTTTTTTCAAAATTTCTTGGACACTGGTGCGTGACTTCAGATTTTGGCCTTGGACCCTGAAAGGGTTAAAAATAATAAAAATAATAATTATTTACTACAAGTACATGTACAAATTGGAGAGGAGGAGTATGGAAGAAGTGAATGTTTTCAGATACTTGGGAGTTGACGTGTCGGCGGATGGATTTATGAAGGATGAGGTTAATCATAGAATTGATGAGGGAAAAAAGGTGAGTGGTGCGTTGAGGTATATGTGGAGTCAAAAAACGTTATCTATGGAGGCAAAGAAGGGAATGTATGAAAGTATAGTAGTACCAACACTCTTATATGGGTGTGAAGCTTGGGTGGTAAATGCAGCAGCGAGGAGACGGTTGGAGGCAGTGGAGATGTCCTGTTTAAGGGCAATGTGTGGTGTAAATATTATGCAGAAAATTCGGAGTGTGGAAATTAGGAGAAGGTGTGGAGTTAATAAAAGTATTAGTCAGAGGGCAGAAGAGGGGTTGTTGAGTGGTTTGGTCATTTAGAGAGAATGGATCAAAGTAGAATGACATGGAAAGCATATAAATCTATAGGGGAAGGAAGGCGGGTAGGGGTCGTCCTCGAAAGGGTTGGAGAGAGGGGGTAAAGGAGGTTTTGTGGGTAAGGGGCTTGGACTTCCAGCAAGCGTGCGTGAGCGTGTTAGATAGGAGTGAATGGAGACGAATGGTACTTGGGACCTGACGATCTGTTGGAGTGTGAGCAGGGTAATATTTAGTGAAGGGATTCAGGGAAACCGGTTATTTTCATATAGTCGGACTTGAGTCCTGGAAATGGAAGTACAATGCCTGCACTTTAAAGGAGGGGTTTGGGATATTGGCAGTTTGGAGGGATATGTTGTGTATCTTTATATGTGTATGCTTCTAGACTGTTGTATTCTGAGCACCTCTGCAAAAACAGTGATAATGTGCGAGTGTGGTGAAAGTGTTGAATGATGATGAAAGTATTTTCTTTTTGGGGATTTTCTTTCTTTTTTGGGTCACCCTGCCTCGGTGGGAGATGGCCGACTTGTTGAAAAAAAAAAAAAAAAAAAAAAAAAAAACATGTACAAGGTATACATGCCTAGCTGACATCAATGACATACTACTGTATAGAAAGCCACTTGTTTTGCAGAGCTTTTCAGGCAAATTAGGTCAATTTTGTCCCAGTATGTGACCCACACCAATCGACTAACAGACAGGTATCCATTTTACTGATGGGTGAACATAGACAACCGGTGTAAGGAAACATGCCCAATGTTTCCACCCATTTGCCAGGAATTGAACCCGGACCCTCACCATGTGAAGCGAGAGTTTTGCCACCAGGCCACGGACTCGTGCAATGTTAGTTTTCTCTGTTGTTCAAGGTTTTCTCTGTTATTCAATGTTTTTACATTTAGTTTACTATTACACTGTGTATTCTGTGGTATAATTAACTATTTTTGTGCTTAAAAATATTATAAAAACAATATTTACATACAGTTTGTAGGGGTCTGGAACGGATTAATTGTGTTAACATACAATCCTATGGGGAAATTAGGTTCGGGTCACGACCAAATCGGGTCGTGACTAGAGTTTTGGAAAGAACGATGGTCGTGATCAGAGGTTCCACTGTATTTTAAAATTAAGGCAACTAACATGCCGGGAGCAAGGGGCTAGTAACCTCTTCTCCTGTATACATTAATAAATTTAAAATTGGTATCATGTTTAAACCAGCTGCCAGATGTATATCTGTTGTCCCTTAAAACTGTACTATATTAAAATAAATTAATTTAAATACTCTGTTTCATTTCTCTCTGTTAATTAACATGCCTTATTAAGATTATGAAGCAGTTCTTAATTTTAGATTTCATAAGTTAACTTTTTTTAATTTTTGCAATTTCTCGTGTATTAAAACGAGCTTTCAATTCTGAGTTTTTTATATTTGTCATGCTTATTAAAATTTACTCGTGGCATGTTATTTCACTTATTTTTAACTATTTATTTTATTATCACACTGGCTGATTCCCACCAAGGCAGGGTGGCCCGAAAAAGGAAAACTTTCACCATCATTCACCCCATCACTGTCTTGCCAGAAGGGTGCTTTACACTACAGTTTTTAACCCTTTGACTGTCGCGGCCGTATATATACGTTTTACGAGGTGCCGTGTTTGACGTATATATACTCATAAATTCTAGCGGCTTCAAATCAAGCAGGAGAAAGCTGGTAGGCCCACATGTGAGAGAATGGGTCTTTGTGGTCAGTGTGCACCATATAAAAAAAATCCTGGAGCACGCAGTGCATAATGAGAAAAAAAAAACTCCGACCGTTTTTTTTAATTAAAATGCCGACTTTGTGGTCTATTTTCGTATAGTATTTATGGTTGTATTCTCGTTTTCTTGGTCTCATTTGATAGAATGGAAAACATATTACAGAAATTGTGGTGTTTTTGATTGATTTTACTATAAAAAGAACCTAGAAATGGAGCTCAAAGTAGGGGATTATTATTATTATTATAATCAAGGGGGAAGCGCTAAACCCGGAGGATTATACAGCGCCTGTGGGGGGGGGGGATGTGGAAGGCATTCAGGCTTAATTCGGGGAACTGGAGCACAGATCCAATTCCCTAAATCAAGAGCCCCTCACCAACATCAAGGAACCTTCCTTGAGGGGTCAAAGTAGGGGAAATGTTTGATTTTTGCCAATGTTCAAAAGTAAACAAATGATGCCATTTTCCAATAAATGTCCAACTAGCCATTCTAATATGCAGTCATGAATGGGTTGATGTTATTTATACAGTTATTACAGCATTGCAGTAGTCTGCATAATAGTAAGTCTAATATTTTTTTTTTGTTTGAATAAAAATTCAAAATAGAAAGCAAGAGTAATATCAGAGGGGCCTGGAGACATGACTGATGAGCAAAGAAAATGTTATTTTAGAGCCCGGAATGTCTGCATTGTTCATTCTGGAACCTTATTTGAAATTGTCATATTTTTTTTTTTAGTTTTCCGGTGAAATTGGCCAAAATTTCAAATTTCTTTACCACATTATTAGGTAGTTGAAATCAGTAAATGGGCAGTTTTTTTGTACTCAATCGATAGAAAAAATGAAGTTCTAAAGAAATAGCTATGAGTTTGGGCGACTGGAACAATGGAATTAGCCGAAAATAAGGCTCAAAGTGGGCGAAATCGCCGATTTGTAAACAGCGCCGAGGTCGCTAACTTCGCGAGAGCATAATTCCGTCAGTTTTCCATCAAATTTCGTTTTTTTGGTATCATTACAATCGGGAAAAGATTCTCTATCATTTTATAAGAAAAAATAATTTTTTTTTTTTTTTTAAATTTTGCGACACCAGGAGACACCTCAGGATTGGGGGTTGCGACAGTCAAAGGGTTAAACTGCAACATTTACACCCCTCCTTCAGAGTGCAGGCACTGTACTTCCCATCTCCAGGACTCAAGTCCAGCCTGCCGGTTTCCCTGCACCCCTTCATAAATGTTACTTTGCTCACACTCCAACAGCACGTCAAGTATTAAAAACCATTTGTCTCCATTCACTCCTATCAAACACGCTCACGCATGCCTGCTGGAAATCCAAGCCCCACGCACACAAAACCTCCTTTACCCCCTCCCTCCAACCTTTCCTGGGCCGACCCCTACCCCGCCTTCCTTCCACTACAGACTGATACACTCTTGAAGTCATTCTGTTTCGCTCCATTCTCTCTACATGTCCGAACCACCTCAACAACCCTTCCTCAGCCCTCTGGACAACAGTTTTGGTAATCCCGCACCTCCTCCTAACTTCCAAACTACGAATTCTCTGCATTATATTCACACCACACATTGCCCTCAGACATGACATCTCCACTGCCTCCAGCCTTCTCCTCGCTGCAACATTCATCACCCATGCTTCACACCCATATAAGAGCGTTGGTAAAACTATACTCTCATACATTCCCCTCTTTGCCTCCAAGGACAAAGTTCTTTGTCTCCACAGACTCCTAAGTGCACCACTCACCCTTTTCCCCTCATCAATTCTATGATTCACTTCATCTTTCATAGACCCATCCGCTGACACGTCCACTCCCAAATATCTGAATACATTCACCTCCTCCATTTTAACTAATCTGTATATTTAATCTGTAGTAACCCCTTCTTTTAGGTCCCTCTGCCTCGGTGGGATACAACCTCTTCATTAAAGATTTTTTTTTAAGTAATCTGTATATTTATACAATACGTTTCATTGTAATCTGTATATTTATACAATACATTTCATTGTTTCAGCCACTGGTATACCTCTTTAGATGTGTCTCTTACTGCTGGGGTGATAATTGTTGGAGATAATAAAGGTTATGTTAATCTCTTCACAATTGATGGTGAAAAACTCTGGAAGGAGCGACTTCACAAGCAAAAAGTTACACACATTGAATTTTGTCCAAGGTAAGGCTTTGCTCTTAATTGCATATGTTGATACATATGTGGTAGTTTGCATGTGGTGTCAGCACACTTCTGGCTGTTGAATGAATAATGGAAATGTGACTTTTTTTTATGGGGGGGGGGGCATCCTATTTTGGTGGGAGATGGCCCATGGAATAAAAATAAAATGTTGATGGGTGGGGATGTTGCAGTTCAGAGGATCATTTGAATCATGATATCTGTGCATTTCTGGCAGAATAGCTATTTAATGGATGATAGAGAATGCGTTTCCTTTTTTTTCATCATCTTGCCTTAGTAAAGAACAGTCGAATGTGGTTAAAAAATTGATCAATAATTTGTGAGCAATGTGTTCACTCAGGATAATTTCTAAGCAGTGTGTTCATTCAGGATAATTTGTAAGCACTGTGTTCACTAACCTTTTTCCCCTCATCATAGAATTGATGAGGGGGAAAAGGTGAGTGATACACTTAGGAGTCTGTGGAGACAAAGAACTTTGTCCATTGAAGGAAAGAGGGAAATGTATGAGAGTATGGGTATGAAACATGGGTGGTGAATGCTGCAACAAGGAGAAGGCTGGAGGCAGTGGAGATGTCATGTCTGAGAGCAATGTGTAGTGTGAATATATTGCAGAGAATTTGTAATTTGGAAATTAGGGAGAGGTGCAGGATTACCACAACTATTATCCATTGGGCTGAGGAAGGGTTGGTGATGTGGTTCAGACATGTAGAGAGGTTGGAACGAAATAGAATGACTTTGAGAGTGTATAAATCTGTAGTGGAGGCAGTGGGCGTGTGCTGCATTGAATGTAGCTCCTCGCAGCCAGTAACACCAGTAATACCTATACTATCATACTACATCAGACTTCTATTTTTAATCATTTTATATCTCGTTTCAACAAAAGAATTAAAAATTCGCTTATAAATATATTGAAAACAACATACAACAGATTTTTCCTGTAATATATTTATCAGTTGCAGATTATTTTAGTGTAAGGGGGAGTGCAGCTGTGCAGCTCCTATGGACGAGCCGCCACTGAGTAGAGGGAAGGCGGGGCAGGGGTCAGCCTAGGAAAGGTTAGAGGCAGGGGGGTAAAGGAGGTTTTGTGTGCAAGGGGCTTTGACTTTCAGCAAGCATGCATAAGCGTGTTATATAGGAGTGAATGGAGACAAATGGTTTTTAGGACTTGACATGCTGTTGGAGTGTGAGCAAGGTAGCATTTATGAAGGGAGTCAAGGAAACTGGCAGGCTGGACATAAGTCCTGGAGATGGGGAAGTACAGTGTCTGCACTCTGAAGGAGGAGTGTTAATGTCGCAGTTTTATAACTGCAGTGTAAGCACGCCTCTGGCAAGACAGTGATAGAGTGAATGATTATGAAAGTTTTTCTTTTTCGGGCAACCCTGCCTTGGTGGGAGAAGGCCGATGTGTTAATAGAAATAGGTAATAGTGTTCACTCAGGATAATATGTAAACATTGTGTTCATTCGAGATAATTTGCAGATGTCTTGACAGTAAAGGGGTAGGTATCACATGAGCCTGACATCTGTAGAGACTAGTGTATTAATGGCTAGTTAACATTTGTGGAAAGGAAGGGAGCGAAGAAATTTGTTGCAGTGAAAGTTGATGAGGATAAACTAACTAAAGAAGATGGAGCACTTTAAGTCTTGCTGTAACTTCAAGCAGGGTAAGAATTTCATACCGTATATATACATGTACTTGTCTCCATGGAAAAGTGGAGAAGAATCCTTCCTCCATAAGCCATGTGTCGTAAGAGGCAACTAAAATGCCGGGAGCAAGGAACTAGTAACCCCTTCTCCTGTATTCATTACTAAATTTTACAAAGAGAAACTTTCATTTTTCTTTTTGGGTCACCCTGCCTCAGTGGGATATGGCTGGGTCATTGAAAAACATAATGTGTACTTGTCTCTGTGGAGAAGTGGAGAAGAATCCTTCCTCCGTAAACCGTGTGTGTCATAAAAGGCAATTAAAATGATGTTAGCAAGGGGCTAGTAACCCCTTCTCCTGTATAAATTAGCCAGATTTGAGTCCTGGAAATGGGAAGTACACTGGCTTCACTTTAAAGAAAGAATTTGGGATATTAGCAGTTTGGAGGGATATCTAAATTCGTATCTGAGTGCCTCTGTAAAGACAGTGATTATGTATGAGTGATGGTGAAAGCGTTGAATGATCATGAAAGTTTTTTCTTTCTTTTTGGGTCACCCTGCCTTGGTGGGAAATGGCTGACGTGTTAAAAAACAAATGAAAATTTTTGTTTGTTTGTTGGGTCACCCTGTCTCGGTGGGAGACAGCCGGAGTGTTGAAAAAAGAATGTATACTTGTATATAAAAATACATACAGTACATGAATTCTTTATAATTATACCAGTATTTTTGTTACAGGATTCCATGGTGTTTAGTGACTACTTCAGTGGATCACACATTGAAGGTTTGGGATGTACGAAACATGAAGTCACGCACATCGTGTCTTCTCAGCCACACCCACGAAAAACCAATAAACTCTGCTCACTTCAGGTAGATGCCTTCATCGGACATTGATGGTATAAATTTACGATATTAATAAAAACAGTAATTCAGTAGCATCTTGTTGCTTACTAATTTATAGTTTGTGTAGAATAAAATATTTTTAGGACTCTTTAATTTGCAGGAAATTCAGTTACAGGAGACCCTCAGATTAACAATGAATCAAGTCATGCACATCTGAACTTACAAATGTGACACTTAGAAACCAATTGAAGTTTTACACCTGCCAAGCTTATCTATGAACATGTCTCAGTTATACATAATTGTCCTTTGTGTTATTCTTCTCTGTGCAATTTGTTTGTTGAAAAATCAGAAAGAAACATTCCCCATGTATGTAGTGTATTCAGAATTTACAGCAGAAATAGTGTTAGTATTTGCTATTGTAAGATATGGGAATTCCTTCTACTTTGGATATTTGAATGATCTTCATTAAGTATTGTTATTGGACAGACAGTAATGGAGGCGTGGCAGCTTGGCTCACGCCACACTCCTCCCACACTATAGTTCAGCCTACAATCCTTCACTAGGAGGGAGGGAGGAAAGGAATGGGGATGGAGGAAGGCAGACATGTTGTTGTCAACTGTGTGTGTGTGTGTGATGAGAGAGAGAGAGAGAGAGAGAGATGAAGAAGAGAAGAGAGAAGGAGGAGAGAGAGAGACTGAGAGAGAGAAGAGACTGAGAGAGAGAGAGAGATGAGAGAGAGAGAGAGAGAGAGACGAGAGACTGGAGAGAGATGAGAGAGAATGGGAGAGAGAGAGAGAGGAGAGAGGAGAGACGATGAGAGAGAGAGATGGATGAGAGAGGAGAGAGAAGAGAGAGAGAGAGAGACTGAGAAGGGAGAGAGACTGAGAGACTGATGAGAGAGGCTGAGAGAGACTGACGAGAGAGACTGAGAGAGAGAGAGATGTGCTGGACTGAGGACTGGACTGACTGACTGACTGACTGCTGACTGGAGACTGACCTGACTGAGACTGATGAGACTGATGACTGACATGACTGACTGACTGACTGATGACTGGACTGGCGACTGACTGACTGACTGACTGAACTGACTGACTGACTGACTGACACTGGACTGACTGACACTGACTGACTGACTGACGGACTGACTGACTGACTGACTGGACTGACTGACGACTGACTGATGACTGGACTGACTGACTGGACTGACTGACTGGACTGACTGACTGAACTGACTGACTGACTGACGACTGGACTGGACTGACTGACTGGACTGACTGACTGACTGGACATGACTGACTGACGACTGACTGACTGACTGGACTGATGACTGGACTGACTGACTGGAGACTGACTGGACTGACTGACTGACTGGACTGACTGGACTGACTGAGACTGACTGACTGACTGGACTGCGGACTGACTGACTGACTGACTGACTGGACTGACTGACTGACTGGACTGACTGACTGACTGACTGACTGACTGACTGGACTGACTGACTGACTGACTGGACTGACTGACTGGACTGGACTGACTGACTGACTGACTGGACTGACGACTGGACTGGACTGACTGACTGGACTGACTGACTGACTGACTGACGATGACTGACTGACTGACTGAGACTGGACTGACTGACTCTGACTGACTGACTGACTGACTGACTGACTGACTGATGACTGACTGACTGACTGGACTGACTGACTGACTGGACTGACTACTGACTGACTGACTGACTGACTGACTGACTGACTGACTGGACTGACTGACTGACTGACTGACTGACTGGACTGACTGACTGACTGACTGGACTGACTGACTGACTGGACTGACTGGACTGACTGTGGACTGACTGACTGGACTAGACTGACTGACTGACTGGGACTGACTGACTGACTGACTGGACTGATACTGACTGACTGACTGACTGGACTGACTGACTGGACTGGACTGACTGAGACTGGACTGAACTGACTGACTGACTGACTGACTGACTGAACTGACTGACTGGACTGACTGACTGACTGGACTGACTGACTGACTGACTGGACTGACTGACTGACTGACTGGACGAGACTGACTGACTGACTGACTGACTGGACTGACTGACTGACTGGACTGACTGACTGACTGACTGGACTGACTGACTGACTGGACTGACTGACTGACTGGACTGACTGACTGACTGACTGGACTGACTGACTGACTGACTGGACTGACTGACTGACTGACTGGACTGACTGACTGACTGACTGAACTGACTGACTGACTGACTGATGACTGGACGACTGATGACTGACTGACTGGACTGACTGACTGACTGACTGGACTGACTGACTGACTGGACTGACTGACTGACTGGACTGACTGACTGACTGGACTGACTGACTGACTGGACTGACTGACTGACTGGACTGACTGAGTGACTGACTGACTGGACTGACTGACTGACTGGACTGACTGACTGACTCACTGACTGGCTCACTGACTGACTGACTCACTCACTCACTTGAGTGTTGTATATTTTTTGTTTCATTGCAAAAAAAAAAAAATACGAAAATTACTAGTAGATGTAGTATGGAATATTTTATGGCTCAGGTATGCATCTCTAATTATAACATGGGTTTTTTTTTTTTTCAACAAGTCGGTCGTCTCCCACCGAGGCAGGGTGACCCAAAAAAGAAAGAAAATCCCCAAAAGGAAAATACTTTCATCATCATTCAACACTTTCACCACACTCACACATTATCACTGCTTTTGCAGAGGTGCTCAGAATACAACAGTTTAGAAGCATACACTTATAAAGATACACAACATATCCCTCCAAACTGCCAATATCCCAAACCCCTCCTTTAAAGTGCAGGCATTGTACTTCCCATTTCCAGGACTCAAGTCCGACTATATGAAAATAACCGGTTTTCCCTGAATCCCTTCACTAAATATTACCCTGCTCACACTCCAACAGATCGTCAGGTCCCAAGTACCATTCGTCTCCATTCACTCCTATTTTAACACGCTCACGCACGCTTGCTGGAAGCCAAGCCCCTTGCCCACAAAACCTCCTTTACCCCCTCTCCCCAAACCCCCTTTCGAGGACAACCCCTACCCCTCCTTCCTTCTCCTATGATTTATATGCTTTCCATGTCATTCTATTTTGATCCATTCTCTCTAAATAACCAAACCACCTCAACAACCCCTCTTCTGCCCTCTGACTAATTCTTTTATTAACTCCACACCTTTTCCTAATTTCCACACTCCGAATTTTCTGCATAATATTTACACCACACATTGCCTTTAAACAGGACATCTCCACTGCCTCCAACTGTCTCCTCGCTGCTGAAATTTACCACCAAAGCTTCAACCCATATAAAGAGTGTTGGTACTACTATACTTTCATACATTCCTTCTTTGCCTCCCTAGATAACGTTTTTTGACTCCACATATACCTCAACGCACCACTCACCTTTTTCCCTCAGGATGATTAACCTCATCCTTCATAAATCCATCCGCCGACACGTCAACTCCCAAGTATCTGAAAACATTCGCTTCTTCCATACTCCTCCTCCCCAATTTGATATCCAATTTTTCTTTATCTAAATCATTTGATACCCTCATCACCTTACTCTTTTCTATGTTCACTTTCAACTTTCTACCTTTACACACATTCCCAAACTCATCCACTAACCTTTGCAATTTTTCTTTAGAATCTCCCATAAGCACAGTATCATCAGCAAAAAGTAACTGTGTCAATTCCCATTTTGAATTTGATTCCCCAAAATTTAATCCCACCCCTCTCCCGAACACCCTAGCATTTACTTCCTTTACAACACCATCTATAAATATATTAAACAACCATGGTGACATTACACATCCCTGTCTAAGACCTACTTTTACCGGGAAGTAGTCTCCCTCTCTTCTACACACCCTAACCTGAGCCTCACTATCCTCATAAAAACTCTTTACAGCATTTAATAACTTACAGTGGACCCCCGGTTAACGATATTTTTTCATTCCAGAAGTATGTTCAGGTGCCAGTACTGACCGAATTTGTTCCCATAAGGAATATTGAGAACTAGATTAGTCCATTTCAGACCCCCAAACATACACGTACAAATGCACTTACATAAATACACTTACATAATTGGTCGCATTGGGAGGTGATCGTTATGCGGGGGTCCACTGTACTTGCAACATCTGCCACATTGCTCCTCTATCCACTCTATCATATGCCTTTTCTAAATCCATAAATGCAATAAAAACTTCCCTACCTTTATCTAAATACTGTTCACATATATGCTTCAATGTAAACATTTGATCTACACATCCCCTACCCACTCTGAAACCTCCTTGCTCATCCGTGGGAAAATAGGTTCCGAGTTCCAAACTCCTGAGTAACAAATAATTTTCATTTATGTTGTAACTTGGCATTGTGTTGTATTTACATCATTGCTGTTAAACAATTTTATATTTCTGTAAAATTCTTCACAGCAGTTTTCGTGAAATTCATTAACTTTTTCACTGTAACTTGCATAGGAATCTGATTGATTTGAGTTGCTCACATTTTTTTTCTTGCTGTGGTACTGGACATCATACTGGAGACTGTACTTTCATACCTGGAGGGTGTTCTGGGGGTCATTGCCCCTGCAGCCCAGTCCATGACCAGGCCTGGTGGTGAATCAGGGTCTGATCAACTAGGCTGTTACGCCTTCCTGTAATGCACTGTGTAGGCCAGGATTTTTTCTAGGTGGTGAAAAAATTATACCTGACTGCACAAGTTGCTTGGAGGCCTTTAATTGTGAATCATGGGAAATTTAAGTTTGCCAGGATTCTTGTTTATAGTATGCACATTGCACCCACATAACCAGTGAGATGTCTATATATGTTAAGGTTTCACTTGTTTCTTGTGATTTTGTTGCATCTACTTGTTAAATATTAATTGTTACAAGAAGATAAAAAAGTTTTCCAACATTATACTGTACTGAAACTTATCACTTTTCTGTATAGATGTTTTAGTGGTTTATAATCACATAGTACCATAATGCAGAATGGGGGGATAGTATTTTTATGCTATGCAACTGTATTTATTCTTCATATCCTCTTGAAGCAGGTGCCTTGTTTCTGGTGAAGGGCTCTAGATTCAAGAAATTAAAGGTGTTTTGTCCTTCCCTTAATGAAACCTGATTACCTGCCATTCTCCAAGTTCTGTATGACCCTTAGTTGTTTACCTCTTTCCATTGAATGTAATAATAACCATTTCTTCATTCCTGGTGACAGTCGCACTGATGGAGGGCGCCTTGTAACCACGGATCAGCTTGATGAAATACGGGTGTACTCCTGTCCCAGCTTCAATCTGAGTCAGACTATACCGCACCCTCACCGTCAGTTCCAGCACCTCACACCAATTAAGGCATGAACCTCTCTTCCTGTATCTGATTTGTGTTCTTTTCCATCATTGGAAGCCAATCTGCTACTAATTGCCAGTATGCCACACTTGTTAAGCTAATGAGTTATTGTACATATTAGTGGTCAAGAATGTTCAATATAATCATCATAAGTAATTATCAAAGGGCTTCCAATTGTCATTTCATTTTGATTAAATGTGCCATAGACAATTTTTCCATAAGTATGAGGATTGGAAAATCTCCAGAACAAAAGAAGTTGTCAGAAGTTGTCAGGAGGAGTATGGAAGAAGTGAATGTTTTCAGATACTTGGGAGTTGACGTGTCGGCGGATGGATTTATGAAGGATGAGGTTAATCATAGAATTGATGAGGGAAAAAAGGTGAGTGGTGCGTTGAGGTATATGTGGAGTCAAAAAACGTTACCTATGGAGGCAAAGAAGGGAATGTATGAAAGTATAGTAGTACCAACACTCTTATATGGGTGTGAAGCTTGGGTGGTAAATGCAGCAGCGAGGAGACGGTTGGAGGCAGTGGAGATGTCCTGTTTAAGGGCAATGTGTGGTGTAAATATTATGCAGAAAATTCGGAGTGTGGAAATTAGGAGAAGGTGTGGAGTTAATAAAAGTATTAGTCAGAGGGCAGAAGAGGGGTTGTTGAGGTGGTTTGGTCATTTAGAGAGAATGGATCAAAGTAGAATGACATGGAAAGCATATAAATCTATAGGGGAAGGAAGGCGGGGTAGGGGTCGTCCTCGAAAGGGTTGGAGAGAGGGGGTAAAGGAGGTTTTGTGGGTAAGGGGCTTGGACTTCCAGCAAGCGTGCGTGAGCGTGTTAGATAGGAGTGAATGGAGACGAATGGTACTTGGGACCTGACGATCTGTTGGAGTGTGAGCAGGGTAATATTTAGTGAAGGGATTCAGGGAAACCGGTTATTTTCATATAGTCGGACTTGAGTCCTGGAAATGGGAAGTACATTGCCCTGCACTTTAAAGGAGGGGTTTGGGATATTGGCAGTTTGGAGGGATATGTTGTGTATCTTTATGTGTGTATGCTTCTAGACTGTTGTATTCTGAGCACCTCTGCAAAAACAGTGATAATGTGCGAGTGTGGTGAAAGTGTTGAATGATGATGAAAGTATTTTCTTTTTGGGGATTTTCTTTCTTTTTTTGGGTCACCCTGCCTCGGTGGGAGACGGTCGACTTGTTGAAAAAAAAAAAAAAAAAAAAATGCATATATGGGAAAGTAAAGGTAGAAAGTTGAAAGTGAACATAGAAAAGAGTAAGGTGATGAGGGTATCAAATGATTTAGATAAAGAAAAATTGGATATCAAATTGGGGAGGAGGAGTATGGAAGAAGTAAATGTTTTCAGATACTTGTGAGTTGATGTGTCGGCGGATGGATTTATTAAGGATGAGGTTAATCACAGAATTGATGAGGGAAAAAAGGTGAGTGGTGCGTTGAGGTATATATGGAGACAAAAAACGTTATCTATGGAGGCAAAGAAGGGAATGCATGAAAGTATAGTAGTACCAACACTCTTGTGTTGGGTTGTGAATGCAGCAGCGAGAAGGCGGTTGGAGGCAGTGGAGATGTCCTGTTTAACCCTTTCAGGGTCCAAGGCCCAAATCTGGAGTCACGCACCAGTGTCCAAGAATTTTCAAAAAAAAAATTTGTTATTTTTTCTTATGAAATCGTAGAGAATCTTTTTGTGAAGGTAATAAAACAAAAAGTACGAAATTTGGTGGAAAATTGACGAAATTATGCTCTCGCGAATTTTGATGTGTCAGCGATATTTATGAATCGGCGATTTTGCCAGCTTTGACTCCCATTTTAGGCCAATTACATTATTCCAGTCAATCAAATTCTTAGCTATTTCACTAGTATTACTTCTATTCTATCGATTGAGCACAAGAAATCGTCAAGTCAACTGTTTCAACTACAAAATAAAGTGATCGGAAACTGTTAATTTGGCCAATTTAACACAAAGTTCAAAATATTCTAATTTCAAAATAGGGTCCAGAATGAACAATGTAGGCATTCCTGGCACTAAACTAACATTTCCTCTGTTCATTAGTTATGTTTTGAGGCTTTACAAATAAATTCCATTTTGATTTTTTATTCACATAATGAATTTTTATTCACACCAAAAAATAGAAGATTTACTGTTATGCAATACTGTAATAATTGTATAAATATCATCACCATATTTGTGAATGTATATTAGACCCACCAGCTGATGTGTATTAGACGTGTGAGGTCGTTTGTTTACTCTTGAATATCGGCAAAAATTTAACATTTCTGCTACTTTGAGCTCAGTTTCAAGCCATTTCCAGTGCTAAAACCAATCAAAATCATCTCTATTTCTGTAATATGTCTTCCATTCTATCAAATGAGACCAAGAAATCGCAAATACAACTATAAAAAACATACGAAAAAACACTGCAAAGTTGCTGTTTTAATCGAAAAATCATGATTTCATTTTTTTTCTCTCATTATACACAGTGTGCTGCAGGATCTGTTTTATGTGGTGCACACATACCACATAGATGTATTCTCTCATATCTAGGCCCAAATGTACCACTCACAGTTTATCAGAGTGAGCTGAGCTCATGGCGTAGATCTACGGTTTGGACCCTGAACGTAAAGCCGTAGATCTACGGGAAGGACCCTGAAAGGGTTAAGGGCAATATGTGGTGTAAATATTATGCAGAAAATTCGGAGTGTGGAAATTAGGAGAAGGTATGGAGTTAATAAAAGCATTAGTCAGAGGGCTGAAGAAGGGTTGTTGAGGTGGTTTGGTCATTTAGAGAGAGAATGGATCAAAGTAGAATGACATGGAGAGCGTATAAATCTGTAGGGAAAGGAAGGCGGGGTAGGGGTCGTCCTCGAAAAGGTTGGAAGGAAGGGGTAAGGGAGGTTTTATGGGCGAGGGGCTTGGACTTCCAGCAGGCGTGCATGAGCGTGTTCAATAGGAGTAATAGAGACGAATGGTATTTGGGACCTGACGATCTGTTGGAGTGTGAGCAGGGTAATATTTAGTGAAGGGATTCAAGGAAACCGGTTATTTTTATATAGCCGGACTTGAGTCCTGGAAATGGGAAGTACAATGCCTGCACTCTAAAAGAGGGGTTCGGGATATTAGCAGTTTGGAGGGATATGTCGTGTATCTTTATACCTATATGCTTCTAAACTGTTGTGTTCTGAGCACCTCTGCAAAAACAGTGAGTATGTGTGAGTGAGGTGAAAGTGTTGAATGATGATGAAAGTATTTTGTTTTTGGGGATTTTCTTTCTTCTTGGGTCACCCTACCTCGGTCGGAGACGGCCGACTTGTTGAAAAAAAAAAAAATTGGAAAGTTAAGAAAGCCTAGGGAATGAATGGATTTGTCAATTAAAAACAGAGTAGGGGAGTTAGTAGATGGGGAGATGGAGGTATTGGGTAAATGGTGGGACTATTTTTAGGAACTTTTAAATGTCAACGAAGAAAGGAGATAGGTAATTTCATGAACTGGCCAGGGAGGTTTACCATCTTTTAGGAGTGAAGAAGAGCAGGATGTGAGTGTGGGGGAGGTGTGTGAGGCATTACGTAGAGCGAAAGGGGGTAAAGCAGCTGGAACTAATGGGATCATTACAGAAATGTTAAAAGCAGGGGGGATATAGTGCTGGAATGGTTGGTATTTTTGTTTAATAACTGTACGAAATGTAGGTAGTAGGTTGGTAGACAGCAACCACCCAGGGAGGTACTACCGTCCTGCCAAGTGAGTGTAAAACGGAATCCTGTAATTGTTTTACATGATGGTAGGATTGCTGGTGTCTTTTTCCTGTCTCTTAAACATGCAAGATTTCAGGTACGTCTTGCTACTTCTACTTACACTTAGGTCACACTACACATACATGTACAAGCATATATATACACACCCCTCTGGGTTTTCTTCTATTTTCTTTCTAGTTCTTGTTTATTTCCTCTTATCTCCTTGGGGAAGTGGAACAGAATTCTTCCTCCGTAAGCCATGCGTGTTGTAAGAGGCAACTAAAATGCCGGGAGCAAGGGCCTAGTAACCCCTTCTCCTGTATAAATTACTAAATTTAAAAAAGAGAAACTTTCGTTTTTCTTTTTGGGCCACCCTGCATTGGTGGGATATGGCCAGTTTGTTGAAAAAAAAAAAATTATGAAAGAGGGGAAGGTACCTAGGGATTGGCAGAGAGCATGTATAATTCCTTTATATAAAGTGTGCACCAAAAAAAAAAAAATCCTGGAGCAAGCAGTTCATAATGAGAAAAAAAAACTGACCGTTTTTTTTTAATTAAAATGCCAACTTTGTGGTCTATTTTCGTAAAGTATTTATGGTTGTATTCTCATTTTCTTTGTCTCAGTTGATAGAATGGAAAACATAATGTAGAAATAGAGGTGATTTTGATTGGTTTTACTATAAAAAGAACCTGGAAATGGAGCTCAAAGTAGGGGAAATGTTTGATTTTTGCCGATGTTTAAAAGTAAACAAATGATGTCATTGTCCAATAAATGTCCAACTAGACATTCTAATAAGCAGACATGAATGGGTTGACATTATTTGTTCAATTATTACAGTAGTCTGCATAACAGTAAATCATCTATTTTTTGTTTGAATAAAACTTCAAAATAGAAAGCAAGATAAATATCAGAGGGGACTGGAGACGTGACTGATGAACAAAGAAAATGTTATTTTAGAGCCAGGAATGTCTGCATTTTTCATTCTGGACCTTATTTTGAAATTGTCATATTTTTTAATTTTCGTGAAATTGGCCAAATTGTAAATTTCTGACCGTGTTATTGGGTAGTTGAAATAGGTAAATGGGCAGTTTCTTGTACTCAATCGATAGAAAAAATGGAGTTCTAAAGAAATAGCTATGAGTTTGGTCGACTGGAACAATGGAATTAGCCGAAAATAGGGCTGAAAGTGGGCGAAATCGCCGATTTGTAAATATCGTCGAGGTTGCTAACTTCGCGAGAGTGTAATTCAGTCAGTTTTCAATCAAATTTCGTTTTTTTGGTGTCATTACAATTGGGAAAAGATTCTCTATCATCTCATAAGAAAAAATCATTTTTTTCTTGGAAATTTTGCGGCATCAGGAGACACCTCAGGATTGGGGGTTGCGAGAGTCAAGGGGTTAACCATAGAATTGATGAAGGAAATAAGGTGAGTGGTGCATTGAGGTATATGTGAAGACAGAATGTATGAAAGGGAATGTATGAAAGTATAGTTGGTACCAACACTCTTATATGGGTGTGAAGCTTGGGTTGTAAATGCTGCAGCGAAGAGGCGGTTGGAGGCGGTGGAGATGTGCTGTCTAAGGGCAATGTGTGGTGTAAATATTATGCAGAGAATTTGGAGTGTGGAAATTAGGAGACAGTGTGGAGTTAATAAAAGTATTAGTCAGAGGGCTGAAGAGGGGTTGTTGAGGTGGTTTGGTCATTTAGAGAGAATGGATCGAAGTAGAATGACATGGAGAGCATATAAATCTGTAGGGGAAGGAAGGCAGGGTAGGGGTCGTCCTCGAAAAGGTTGGATGGAGTGGGTAAAGGAGGTTTTGTGGGTGAGGGGCTTGGACTTAGATAGGAGTGAATGGAGACGAATGGTATTTGGGACCTGACGAGCTGTTGGAGTGTGAGCAGGGTAATATTTAGTGAAAGGATTCAGGAAAACCGGTTATTTTTATATAGCCGGACTGGATTCCTGGAAATGGGAAGTACAATGCCTGCTCTTTAAAGGAGGGGTTTGGGATATTAGCAGTTTGGAGGGATATGTTGTGTATCTGTATACGTATATGGTTCTAAACTGTTGTGTTCTGGGCACCTCTTCAAAAACAGTGATTATGTATGAGTGAGGTGAAAGAGTTGAATGATGAAAGTATTTTCTTTCTGGTGATTTTCATTCTTTTTGGGTCACCCTGCCTCGGTGGGAGACGGCCAACTTGTTAAAAAAAAAAAATGGGAATTATAGCATGTGTATTTTACAAGTAAATGCGTTCCTTTAGATTTGTGGTGGTTACTCTCCTAGAGGCCCTGTAAAATCAGAAACTGCAAATAATGTAAAATAAACTTTTCATAAATTGTTCATTTTGTTTTTCTGAACTAGCTAATATTGACGTTTGTGAGAAATAACGACCAAACTAAAATTAGATTTGGGCATGGAGAAGCCATTGAACCAGAAAAAAATTGGATAATTGAATCCATTTCCTGGTTACCCATCACTAAAAGTTAAATAATTAAAGTCTGCTAATACAGAAACTCATGAATTTGTATAAGTAACTGTAGTTGTGTAGCTTGTAGAGTGACATACTTTTTTGTTTGTCGTAATTAATGATACACTGTAATATTTGATAGTATGAATGATGGTGATAAATGTTTCTTTTTCGGATCACCCTGCCTTGATGGGAGACGGCCAGCATGTTAAAAAAATGCTGCATATTTTTTTTTCTCGTCACTCTACCTTGGTGTGAGACAGATATTGTTTTATGAAAAAAGTGTCTTATATTTTTCAGGCTACTTGGCATCCACTACGAGATATTATAGTTGTTGGACGATATCCAGACCGGAACTTTCCAGGCTATGTTTTAAATGAGCCTCGTACTATAGATTTCTTTGAAGCATCAACAGGGAAGATGATATATCAACACATAGATAAAGGATACTGCAACAAGATTGTATCTCTCAACTTGTTCAACCACACTGGAGACAGATTGATGTCAGCTGCAGGTTAGAAGACTATTGTTGCATGTAACAAACTTATATTTGTGGGGTGATATGATAAAGATTCATTTAGGGTTATGAATTTGTTTGATATTGGTAAATAATGGTGCAGAACTGTGAGAGATGGAAAGGGTAAGGAGTAAAATATGTGTTTGTAATAGCCAAGTCATGGAAAAGGTAAGGGAGTAAAATGTGTTTATAACAAGTCAAGTCATGGACAAGGAATGATAAGTATGGAGACAATTCTAAATCCTGAAGTGAACAACTCTGTCTAAGTTACAAATTTGAAATGAAAGGATTTTTTTTGTTTTTATCTCATTTCAAAGGAAAGTTTCTTTGATGTTTATGATGGGCTCTTAATTCAAGGAACTTGAGCAACCTTTCCCTTCCTTGGAATGAACTCGATTGCCACTCATTCATCAGATGCTGTATGCCCTATATTGGCTGTTATGTTTTTTTTGTTTTTTAACAAGTCGGCCGTCTTCCACCGAAGCAGGGTGACCCAAAAAGAAAGAAAATCCCCAAAAAGAAAATACTTTCATCATCGTTCAACACTTTCACCTCACTCACACATAATCACTGTTTTTGCAGAGGTGCTCAGAACACAACAGCTTAGAAGCATATATGTATAAAGATAACAAATAATCCCCAAACTGCAAAATACCCCTAACCCTCCTTTAAAGTGCAGGCATTGTACTTCCCATTTCCAGGACTCGAGTCCGGCTATATAAAAATAACCGGTTTCCCTGAATCCCTTCAATAAATATTACCCTGCTCACACTCCAACAGATCGTCAGGTCCCAAATACCATTCGTCTCCATTCACTCCTATCGAACATGCTCATGCACGCCTGCTGGAAGTCCAAGCCCCTCGCCCACAAAACCTCCTGTACCCCTTCCTTCCAACCTTTTCGAGGACGACCCCCTACCCTGCCTTCCTTCCCCTACAGATCTAAATGCTCTCCATGTAATTCTACTTTGATCCATTCTCTCTAAATGACCAAATCAGTCCATTCTCTCTAAATGACCAAATCAGTGTTCGCATCGCTATTGGGCTGTGCGGACGTGCTGCGCAGTAGCTCCTGATTGAGTTGGCTTTTGCGCAGTGGTGACGTGTACTTAGCTCTGTGAAGACCTGTTTGCGCGCTCTCTACGAATTGAAGCAAGATGCCCTCCATCGAGCAACTTTACCAACAGCTTAAGGAAGAATTGAGGATGGCGAAGATGGAGATTCGGCGACTGACCGAGGAAAACAAGAAGATTCGTAGTAGTCCTCCTGTTTTGAGTCCTCAGGTCAAGAAGGGAAATGGTCAGTGGTGGACGCAGGGAATGAGGTGCGATCAAGAAGATGAATGGAAAGGGAGAAACGTGAGAAGAAGAGACTGCCGTGGGAAAAATGTTGTGGAAACATTATACATTCTCAGTGCTACGCGAATGTTGAGTCGACTAGGGAACATCGTGACGAACGACACCCAAAGGGAAGGGAAGAATATTGTTGTTTTTAGGGTAGCCATGTTAGGTATTGGATAGGCGTTCTGCTTGAAGGACTGGGTAGGAGACAGAGAGTTTGCTTTCCTTGGGCTGGGAAAGGAGGATATGTTAGCCATCTGGATGAATCTGAGAGGTATGGGTGAATCCTATTATCTGTCTCAGTGCTGAGGCAACGATTTTTGGCAGACGTAGGGGTGAAGACCTGATTAGCAGGATAGGTCAGCAATAGAAATAATTAGGAGTAAGGGTGGGACCTGTATATGTGGTATTTTGCCAAGGAGAGGGGTTGGAATGAATGGTTGTCAGGGCAATTGGGGGCAATTGGGGTGGTAACAAATACTGTGAGGAAATGCAGGGAACATTATTGACAACTGGGACCTTTCTATGGCGAGAAATGACATGTATGCCGGGATGGGGTTCATTATCTAGGTCTGGGGTGGTTTGCACTGGCAACTGCAGTGAGGGAACAGTTAGGACTTTAAAACTAGGAATAGTTAGTGGTATGGGTTTTGGCAGGAAAAAGTGAAGTCCCAGTGTAGTAATATTACGAGTTCTAGGGGAACTAGTAATAAGCAGAAGAGGTAGATATTGAAAAGCCAGGGATTTTGGGTGATTAAGGACAGTAATAGGTTTAGTAGAAAAACAGAAATGAGCAGGAAGGGTAAAGAGAAAGGGAGTCTTTCAGTGTTTATTATGCTAATTGCCTTAGTGCTAGGAATAAGATGGGGCGAGTTGAGATTAGTTGCTAGTGCAGGTAACATTGATGTATTTGCCTTAACTGAGACGTGGTTAAATTTAAAAGTTGGGACATGCCTGCAGAAAGTCATATTCTGGGTTTTAAATTGTTCCAAGTAGATAGAAGTATCGGGAAGGGGGGGGTGGGGTGGCATTGTATGTCCGAGATCGCTGAACTGTTGCATAAAAACGGGTATTAAGTCTGAGTAACACATACAGAGTCTGTTTGGATAGGGAATTTTCAGAGGGGCATGAAAAACTGATTTTAGGAGTGATATACCCCTCCCCCAAACTTAGATAGGGACCAAGGGAGACTACTATGGGGGGAAATTGTTAAGGCACAAGGCACGATAATGTAGTAATTCTAGGAGACTTTAACTTTAGTCATATTGATTGGAATTTCTTGACTGGGAATTTAGAATCATAGACTTCTTAGAAGTAGTTCAGGATTGTTTTTTGAAGCAGTTTGTGACAGAACCTACAAGGGGAAAACCCGCTTGACTTAGTTATGGCAAACAATGAATCCCTTGTTAATAATTTAGAAATTTCAGAGGAAATGGGTGCTAGCGACCACAAATCAATTACATTTAGCATTTAATGGAAGTACGATAGTAGTGATAATCAGTAACAGTCCCCGATTTTCGCTTGCAGATTACGATGGGCCTTTTGAGAACACTTATCATCTGTTGACTGGGGTAACGAAGTGAGCTATCAATATGACAGTTTTCTGAAAACTATACATGCTGCTCAAAGAACATTTATCCATATAAAGAAATTAGATCAAATAGAAATGACCCAAATGGATGAATAATAGGGTCAATATCTACTAGGGGATAAGAAAGGAATTTATAGGTGTAAACAAAAGAGGTGAGGGTCATCTTATGAATCGTATATTGACATTAAGAGGGACATTAAAAAGGGGATAAGAAAGCTAAAAGGGACTATGAAATTAAAGTTGCTAGGGATTCTAAAACTAACCCAAAAAGTTTTTTCCAGGTCTATAGAACAAAAGTTAGAGATAAGATAGGTCCCCTTAAAAATAACTATGGGCCCCCTTATGACAAAGAGAATGAAATGTGCTCGATTTTTAATAAATTTTTTTCTCTCAGTTTTTACACAGGAAGACACTAACAGTATTCCAGTAATTAATTTTATAGTGGGCTAGAAGAAGATAAAATTATGTAACATCACAGTCACTAGTGAAAAGGTTGTGAAAACAGATAGACAGGGCTGAAGCAAAATAAGTCGCCGGGTCCCGTTGAGGTTTTTTTCAAGGGTTCTTTAAGGAATGCAAAATGGAACTCTTGTGAACCATTAACTAAAATTTTTAATTTATCTTTCAAACAGGTTGTAGTGTCTGATATGTGGAAGATGGCTAATGTAATTCTATTTTTAAAACAGGAGACAAGTCGTTACCATCAAATTTTACTGCCCCAAAAAGCCTGACCTCAAATTTTAGGCAAATTTACTAGAGTCAATTATAGCTGAGATTATAAGAAGCCATCTCGATAGCATAGCTTGATTAATGATACTCAGCATGGATTCACAAGAGGCCGGTCTTGTTTAACTAATTTATTAACTTTCTTCAGTAAAGCTTTTGAGGCTGTTGACCATGATAAAGAATTTGATATTATTTACTTAGATTTTAGTAAGGCTTTTGATAGAGTTCTGCACCATAGATGTTAAAGGAAAGTGGCAGCTCATGGCATTGGGGGAAAAGTGCTCTCGTGGATCAAGTCATGGCTCACTGACAGGAAGCAGAGAGTGTCCATAAATGGGGTTAAATCCGAGTGGGGATCTGTAACAAGTGGCGTTCCACAGGGATCAGTCTTGGGCCCGTTGTTGTTTATAATATATATCAATGATCTTGATGAGGGAATTACTAGTGATATGAGCAAATTCGCCGATGACACAAAGATAGGTAGGATAATTGATTCAACGTAGATGTTATGGAACTTCAGGAGGATTTAAACAAACTCTATTCTTGGTCAGAAAAGTGGCAGATGCAGTTCAATGTAGATAAATGCAAGGTTCTGAAGCTTGGGAGTGCCCATAGCCCTAGTACTTATAAGTTAAATGATGTAGAACTTAGCAATACAGATTGCAAAAAGGACTTGGGGGTTATGGTGAGCAGCAACCTTAAACCAAGACAGCAATGCTTAAGCATACGTAATAAGGCAAATAGATTACTGGGATTTATATCAAGAAGTGTAAGCAACAGAAGTCCAGAGGTCATACTGCAGCTTTATACATCATTAGTAAGGCCTCACCTAGATTATGCAGCTCAGTTCTGGTCTCCATATTACAGAATGGACATAAATTCGTTAGAAAACATTCAGCGTAGGATGACTAAATTAATACATCGCATTAGAAATCTTCCTTATGAAGAAAGATTGAAGACTCTTAAGTTACATTCACTTGTTAGACGAAGAATGAGGGGAGACCTGATCGAAGTGTATAAGTGGAAGATAGGTATTAATAAAGGGGATATTAATAAGGTCTTGAGGATGTCTCTCCAAGAGAGAACCCACAGTAATGAATTTAAATTAGATAAGTTTAGATTTAGAAAGGACATAGGAAAGAATTGGTTTGGAAATAAGGTAGTTGATGAGTGGAACAGTCTACCTAGTTGGGTTATTGAGGCTGGGACTTTGAGTAGTTTCAAATTTAGGTTGGATAAGTACATGAGTGGGAGGGGTTGGATTTGAGTGGGACTTTCACATCAGAGCTTATTTCTTGGGTGGCATTGAAAATTGGGTTGGGCAAATGTTTTGTTAGTGG